CAGACCCCACGCACCTGTGTTCGACCGGCGCCTGATCCCAAAGTCCCAGCTTGAGGTAATGTCCACGGATTGGGAGTAGACGTAGCCCTGAGTGTCCCCATTGCTGCCCTGGGGCTCTGCCCCGCTGTCCCCGCAGGCTGAGGAGGGGTGGAACTTCTCCAGGTCCACGTCGTGGTCGATGAGGACCATCTCGCACATGCCCGTGTCATCGCTGGTCACGTGCGACTGCCGGATGTGCGCCAGGATGATGGTGGGGTTGTCCAGGAAAGCCATCCTGTCTCGAGGCGCACCCTCACCGTACTATCTCCTCGCCATCTCGCTTCATGGGCACACGGACCTGGAAACGGCACACACGGCATTGCAGGACAAACACAAACAGCTCAAGCTTCCGTCCCCAAAGGTCTGTGTGGGATGCACAAACCCCGGCTGACTCAGGGCAGGCTGGTTAACTCTGCTCCACTTCACTTGTGCCACACTGGCTGCTGAGATCCTCTTAAGGAGCAGGGGCTTTGGAGGAGAGCAGGACACCAGAGATACCCACAGACAGGTCCCAGCACTCCACATGGCTGCTGCAAGGCCAAACACCCCACAGTGCTGCACACAGGAGGATGGCAGGAGAATCCAGAGCAGAAACATCTGCCTACTCCAACTGATCCATTTACAAAACCAACACGGTTTTGGATTTCTTTTCACCCATCTCAACTGTTTCTGCTTTGCTTCTGCATCTACACACCAACTTTTTGAGTGCCTTATTACAGACTCTCTTCAGGTTTTGTATTTCCAGGAAAAGCTTTAAACATGAAGAGATTAGTGTCTCAGGGCAGAATATTGAACATCTGCTGTTGCATGGTGCTTCACACAGGGCAAATGCAGAAACACAGAAAGCTCTGTGACCAAATACCACACGCCTGAGCTCTGAAGCACTCTAAGAACAGTAATTGCCACTTACCTAAGATATTTCATTCAGAGCACTCAAGTGGCCTTTTGAAACAAAGTAGAGGGCAAAACGGAAAAGGAAAAAACCCCAAACCACAAAACCCAAACCACGCTCACATTGATATCTGATTTTTCTGTATCTGTGGCTTTGTAGTGATGCCAATCTAATTCAAGCCCGGGCTGACTCTGAAAGGGGCAGCTCCGTGCCCTGCCTGACCTGCTCCAGGAATTCCACCATCTCCCAAAGCTGGCACTGGAGCTGTGGGCTGAGCTGGATCAAAAAATTACCTGCTGAAAATAACCTAAAAAGGAAAAACAAAAAATTATTCCTGATCATGCAGCAAGTCCATCAGTGAGCAGCAGCAGGAGCCCTGGGGACACCACCTGAGGGGGCTCGGTCTGAGCTCACACACAGGGCAAGACTACGTGTAAATTCCAGCAGGTTGAAATCCCACTGCTTTTCTAACCAGAAGAAAACACTTTATAGAGCTGCATATGTGTGTTTGGGATTTTGAACTCAGAAACACCAGCAATCTCTTGTCCTTGCTGCTTGCAAAACTGCTGCTTAAACCACACAAAGCCACTTCCCATGAAAATCTGCTAGAGGCAGCTGGCCTTCTCCTGGGATATTTTAACAGAGGGAAGGGACAGAAAGGACCAGCCAGGCTTGTTCCAGAACCATAAATTCTGCTATTAGTGAAATTCACTCCAGCAGGATCCTTGGAGACCCTCAAAGCCCAGCTGGACACAGCCTGGAGCTTTGCTGGCCCTGCCTGGGGTTGGGGATTGGGATGGGATCTCCAGAGGCTCCAGAGCACCACAACTGCACATTCTGCTTTCATTTCTGACTCTTTCCATCAAAGTAAGCAGGGCTGCTCCTGAGGGAGCTCTCACTGTCCTCCAAGGGAGAGGCCACAAGGCAAATGTGCCACCCAAAGGACTGATGTGGGTCTACTCTGACCCTGCACCAGCGGGACCAGCACCCTGGGGCCTGAAAAACACAGACACAGCCAAGCACAGCTCATGGACATGGCAAAACACACATTGAGAATGTCCTTTAAACTGAATTATTTCTACTCACTGATTAGGAAAAGCCACATGTACCTGCAATTGGCAAAAACTTGTTTAAAAAAGCAACAGCCTCAGGCGTCGGAAAGGTCTGCAAACTCCCAATCAAAAATTACTGCTGCCCCATCAATGTGTCATATAAATGTTGGCATGTTAATTGTGTATTTATAAGATTGTTAATGGTTAGTTAATTTACCTCCCACACTATTATTGTACTTGAAATGATTTAATGTCTGCTGAGGGAGTTAACAACATGTAACAGCAGATGCGAGTTTTACCTTTATACCCTGCACCCCGACTTCTGCCATTAACAGTGGTGTGCTAAATCAGCCAAGCTTCTTCCCAACTGAACATCTGCAACTGCCTCTCCCATAGATCTGAACGCTGAGAAAGTGCTGGAAATTCTACACAAGTTTTACACAAACGTATTTTTATTTCCTCCTCTTCAGAATTTTCAAAAAGGTGCATTAAAGCTAATTTATCAACACATTAAAGCTGACTGGAAACTCTCTGAACAGTAGATATACTTCAAAAAACAAAAAAAGAAAGGGCAGACCCCAAATTCAGTTCAGGTTTTGATGCCACATTTAGTAGTTGTAGCCTCCAGAATTCTAACCAGTTCTCCTGTTGATAAAGGCACAGACCCACCCTGAGGAACAGCGACTTCCAGTGAGAGAGAAGAACTCAAAGAAGCAAAGTTCAGTTTTGCAAACCTTTACACAAACACCTTGAAGGTTCCAGCAAAATCACAGACCCAAAATCAATGTCTAGATCTGCTGAGATCTGCCAGCACACCCCTTCTGCACTCCTACACCCACACACCATCACCACATCCTCATGGAGGAGCCAAATTTAACAGGATTCAGGGACTTTCTAAGCATCAGCATCTCATACATCATCATAAACAAAAAAATAAATGTTCTTCTAATACTCGTGCTATACAAATGATATTCTACCATTGAATAAAGCACTTTGCAGGCAGCTGTCAAACACACTCTGTGCAAACACTAAAACTGAAGAGAACAATGTGAAATCTCCAAAATGTTAGAGTTTGGCATTTCTGTCCAACAGGATACAGAGGCTGGGATTGAATGATGTACTGACTGGCAAACACCTGTGGTCAGCACACAGGTGGACAGAGACCTTCACTTTCTCCTGATCTTTATTACTCACCTATCTAACTGCCTGCACACTGTCTGACCAACAGCCAGGGATTAACGCTCCCTCTACCCTTCTTGGCCCCAGTGCTGTGATTCTGCCCTGCCCTGGGGGCACAGCCCCCTCCGCCTGGGGCAGGCACAGAGCATCCCCAAAATGTCAAACTGCACCATCAGGAGGCCGAAGGCCCTGCCAGGACTCATGGGCACTCCAGCAGCAGCAGCAGACAGCTGCATCTCAGCGCACTATTTCTGTCAGCAGCGCTGCTCCTGCAGCTCCCCACAGCTATATTTATGGCAGGGATGGGCTCTCCCAGGCAGCCAAGCAGGGCTTTATGCAGATCAGGCTCATTCATAACCCCGGCACAACGAGGAACGCTAACAAACGACTCCGCTGCCAGGAGGTGACACAAAGGTCTTGGAAAAGGATCTGCAGCCACGCGGGCTGTACCTCGAACACACAGCTGAACACAGCTGAATTTCGGGAGGCAACTCCATCATCACAACATGTGAACTGTTCCTGTGACCCTCCTGCTTGCTCCATGCGCTGCAATTATTTAATAAAGATTTCTGGCTTCCCCCACCAACGCCCCACACGGGGATGGTATCTGCACGTTAACCTACCCGAGGTGACAAGGAGACAGCAGAGCAGTGTGAGATGAGGGGCGAGGACAGGCTGAAGCTCACGGCCCCATCCATCCGCGGTGTCAGGCAGACAGCAGCAGGCCCAGCTGGAGCCAGCCCCGTGCTGGACCCAGCCATGGGGGCACTGCAGCCCCTGCCAGCCCTGCTCGCTGCTGGCTGCAGGGGAACGTTTGACCTTGAGCGTGAAAAATGCTGCGAGCAGCTCTCCTCACGTGGGGAAAGGCAGCTATTCCAGAATGGATCTCTGGGTTTGTTAAATGAGCGCAGTGCCATCTGACACAGCACAAGGGGCGGCTCCTGTCCCTGCCCCACACCTGCAGAGAGCCGTGTCCCCCCTGCACAGCTGCCAGCAGCGGGGCAGGGCCCTCTGTGCCACCCCTGCCCCAGCCCTGCTCCCTCCTGCAGCTCCCGACACATTTCCCAGCCGAAACACGGATTTCTCTTGGTTAGGTGACCCAGAGCCAGCAGGCACTTTCACACCCTGTGCCTGTCCCCAAAAGGTCGCAGGCTCCAGGTCAGACCCCTCCAGCTCCACCAAAAGCCCTGTGGTGCCACCAGCACATCTCCAACTGCAGGACGTATCCCTAAAATGACAATCCCCTTTTCCATGGCATCTTCCAGAAAATATTTTCTTCATGTTGGTATTTTTGCCTTTCATGCTTTGCAATACATAGACCTCTAAGCAAGCTGCAAGAAACAATAAAATCAGAGAAAGCTGTCAGTAACTAAAAATGTTCTGCCACAGGAAAGAGCTACAACTTTGAAGTTTCACCAATTTTAATGGAATGGTTTTAAGAGTTCTCCAGTAAAAAGGGCTAAAAGCAGTTCCGAATTCTTCACAAAACTCTGAAGCCAATTCCTGCAATGTACCTTCCTCTCCAAATTATAAAAGTAAGAAGTAGGGGGAAAAAAACCTTCTTTCCTCATGTTCTGCAAAGCTGTAGCTTGTTTTTGTTTTTTTGTTTGTTTTAATATTGTTTAAATTGACTATCCTCCTTAAGGAAGTAATAAACAATTAAAGCCCTGTTCAAAGTAAACAAAAGTATTCCAAAGACACAACTCATGGAAGATACAATTTAGATCCAAGACAATTGCTAACAAACTCAAAACACAGCAAGCTGGAAAAATTGTATACATTGCAGGTCATGTTATCATTCAAGGGCTTCCACAGTCCCTGTACTCAAACACCTCCTTGACTGTAGCTCTTCAAAGTGATCTTTAAAAACTAATGAAAAAGATAGGCAGATTAGAATTAAAAATTGATTTTTCCCCCAGCGTCATATAAGCAGGAACAGGACGGCACGAACATACTTCAAAATTTATGATTCAGGTTCCATGAAATAATTTCCCAGTCAACTTCTGTCTGCAATTGCACAAGAAATGGTTCTGGTTATCTGCATTTGCAGCAGCAAAAATAATCAACCCCCTCAAACACAGACAGGTCCTGGGCAGGCAGGATAAAGGAAAGTGAACTGAAATATACGAACGTTCAAGTTTATGTTTCAGCAAAAGCTCAAGTGCATTTAAGAGTGAATACTTATCTGCAGAAGCTGTCACTCACACTCTGGTCCTATCATTAAAAAGGAAATAATCATTTACAGTCATATAAAGAGGCTCTCGCACAAGAGAGACTGGAATTGGGAAGTTATGATGAGCAAACACCACATTACACACAACTTCCAACAAATTATTTGTTCATTTCCAGACCTGTAAATCAATCTGGCACTAGCTCTGTATTTTTGAATTGCTTGGAATTTGGCTATACTTTCGTTGTCGCACTAATCAGGATGCAAATAACACCAATTCCAATATTTTAATTACTGAGCTTTAGAGGGGGGAGAAAATATTGGAGTATGTACGGGAAGTATTCACTCTTCTCTTTCCTGGTCTTGTCAAATATTTGTTTAGTTGTAGATACGTTGATTCTCTGCTAACCTGAGAAATCTTGCATCAAGATTTTAAGCAAATAAATAAGTATAAAAAATGCAGAGATTATAAATTAGGGCAGACAAATCTGTATCTAGACTCGTGCCTGCAAAGAGCATTCTATCAATATAGCGAAATGCTAATCTCCTAATTAACAACCTAATTAGGTAATTATGGCTTTGCAGAGGGATGCCTAAATGAAATATGACAACATGGTCACCTCTTTATATGGCACCTGTGGGCCTTTTCAGCTGTCACAGCCGAGAGTGCAATATCAATTTGAACAGATGACAAAGTGTTGTCATTTTTCATTCAGATATTGCGCTGAACGCCGGATCCAGCGCTCCCAGCGCCGCTGCTGCCCGGCTCTGCTCCCTGAGCACGGCCAAACCCCTCTGCATTTCACTGTCCTGATGGAGCTGGGTTCCTCCTGCTGTCTGCAGGGTCCCACACACGCAGCACAGCTGCAGAGCCGCTCGGGGCTGACCCACCACCGGAGCCCCCTGACCCAATTTCACAGCTCG